GCCAGCGCCTTGTACCACGGTGCACACGTCGCACTCACCGCTGGACGAACGCGGCCGTTGCGAATGTTGTCGGTGAGCGCCCACATGTCGAGGTTCAAGTCCCAGTACGGCAGTTGGAATGTGTCGAGCTCGGTCATGATGACACCGAGCGAGTAGACATCGGCGGCGGCCGTTGCGGCGGCCGTTGCGCCACTTGCACCAGAAAGCACCTCAGGTGCACACCACGAGAGCATCGACATGGGGCGGTCCATAAGACTGGCGTTGGCGTCGCCGAGGTTGGCGACCTTGATGTAGTTGGTGTTGCAGAGCAAGACGTTGTGCGACGTCAAGTCCCGATGGAGAAAGCCGTGGGCATGGAGGTCTGCGAGCGCGTTGGCGACGACCCACAGCACTTGCTGAGCTGTAAAGCCCCTTGGGACGGCCTGCGCCTCCCGTTTCTTGTCCAGAAAATCGCGCAGATTGCCGAGCGACATGTACTCGGTGATCATCAGTGGATGTTCTTCTGTGCCCGTGATACCACGTAGTTGCAGCAGGTATGGCGACTTGCACCTACTCGATGAGATAAGCATGGAAAATGCCACGCTTTCAGGATGTACACGTCCAGCGCGGTGATTTCAGCAGTGATGGCGGGCGTGTCGCGGGGATGGAGCATGGACTTGACCGCGACACCCTCTCCGCGGTAGTGACCGTGCTCGATGAGACACTTGTGGCCGCCCGAGCTGAGCTTGATTTTCCCAATCACCTCGTCCGGAAGAATCTACGAGGTAGCATGAGGCCAATGTAATCTTGTCTAGGCGCCGTACCGGAGTCGGGGGCTGGGCCACAACCGCGTAAATTCTGCGGACGGCGTCTCGGCGACAACACGTCATTGCAACTGTGAGCGCCGTGTCGCCATTCTGTGCCATTCAATATAAATGTACCGTCAACCTCCGGCAAGGATGCGATATCCACGCACCGTGTTGCGCTTGGTCGCGTCGGCGTTGGCCGCAAAGAGGCGGTGCATGACCTGCTCGTGGCCGTGCTGCACGGCGAGCAATAGAGGCGAGTTCAAATCCTGTAAAAAGAGTCTTTTTCCATCATAAAAGATCCGAAAATGCACCTTGTCGGTCGCGTTGACGTCTGCGCCATCTTGAAGCAGCATCTCGACAATGGCGGCGTCGCCCGTCGTGGCCGCGATGCTCAGAGGCGTCTGGCCACACTAAAAGTAAGAAATAAGCGCTGGGATAAGAACAGGAGACTCATTATACGCCATTGGATTGGTTGGGGTTGGCATTCGCGATCAAAAGCATGGCCACGATTGCCTCGCGGCTCATATGGGCGGCCAAGCAGAGTGGCGTCGTCCCGGCCTGTATGGAAACTATCAAATCTTCTCCGCTAAAATGACGACGTGTACCGAGCCAGCTTGGTTGACGTCCGACTTGGTCTTGATGAGATGAACAATGGTTGGAATCGCGTTGGCTTCGATGGCCGCCAACAGCTCATCGGTGGGAGTCTGCGCATTTTTAAAGAAACTTCGAAAAGAAATGTGTGTACCACGATATCCGGAGCCGATACGGCAAGAGCAGCCTAGACCATTGTTAATATTGACAACTACCAGTCGCTCGCCAACGTTTGGGATATTAGTGCGCAGCAGACTGACAATAGCGTCGTGGCCCTTTTCCAAGGCCACGGAAAGCGGTGTTTTGCCGGCCTACACACTCGGTACAAACTGCGACAAGAGGCGGGCGCACCTGCGTCGGCGTGTCAATGGCAGCGTGGTGCTGCAGTAGTAGCTCCACGAGCTCGGTATTATTGCTCGAGGCGGCGATGTACAAGGCCGTCATGCCGTGCTACAATGTGTACATTACTCGAATCGTGAACGTCAAACATGCTAATCCTACCGTACTTGTGCGGCTGTGGACGCTGGCCCTTGCCTGCAAAAGCACTTTTGCGACGTCGTTGTGCTTGCTCACGGCCGCAGCCAGCAGTGGCGTCCAGCCTTCCTACTCCAGGCATGAGACACACACCATCTCTCAACTTGATGAGCCGTGCATTATCGGGCTGGTCCACGTTGGCGTCGTACTTGATCAGCAGCGACACCACGTCCCGATGCCCGTTTTTGGAGGCGAGGAGGACCGCGGTGAGCCCCGCCTAATTGCACTTCAGAGAAACAGGGAAACATTGTGGTACCTCATTGGCAGAGTTGACGTCGACGCCGCTGCCTAGCAGGCGACTCACCTCGTTCAGGTTGCCAATCTCGGCGTTAAGGAGAAGCTACACGGTCAATGAGGCTGCCTGCGACTTCGTGTCAACCCGGTACCTCGGATATCAACGTCGTCGTGATAGGACGTGCGAGCTCGGTCATGGTCGAGCGTGTTTGGAAGCGAGTCAGTCGGGCGCTCGTTTCAACCACTCACGAAACCGGTGGCGACCTTCAAAAGTTGATGACTTGTGGCCGAGCATTCATTCCCCACCGAGCGGGCGGTTGATTCGTCGGGTACTGAAAGGAATCGAGTTAAAACTCCTAGTGTCCGTTGCCGTCGTTTTCACCAAAATAAGGAAGGAGCAGTCGCCGACTTGCAGCATGACGAGCAACCTCTGGAAGGAGTTCCAGCGCCAGTGCATTGCCCGCGAGACCGCTGCCGCCGTGAGCACTCAATGCGAAGTCGCACCAAGTGCCGAACGCCCTGCAGCACCCATCAAAGAGGATAGCATCTCTCGGCTGCAGGCCGACTTGGCGAAAGGACCGCGATTCTACCCAGCGTCGACGAACCGATCTCGGCATCGACGTCCACCAATCAAATACCGTCGACGGCGCCACGTAAGGAAGACTTCGTGCCTGCAGCCGTCGATGACGCGGCGTCACACAGCCCATCCGGCAACCCACAGCCAAGAACAACGCCACCAAAGCCGCTGGCCAAGCCCAAGGACGTCTCGACCCAACTATGTTCCTACTTCAACTCGCCGGGCGGCTGCAAGTGGAACGACCGCTGCTCGCGGCGCCACGTCATCGACACCAAGGCGCAAGAAGCTCGGGCGCGGGACGTCGCTGCGTTTGCGTCGCTTCAAGACACCATGCGCTCGACGCTCGAAACAATTCGCGCCGAGATGGCCGCCAAGTACGACCAAGCCAACCGGTTGGACGTGGTCATCGTCATGGACTGCACCAGCTCGATGGGGGCGTGGATTGCATCTGCGAAAGACGCGTCGACGACCATCATTCGCAACATCCAGACCGACCACCCCAACGCTGTCGTCCGCATCGGCTTTGTCGGGTACCGCGACTATATCAACGGCAACGACCGCATCGCGTCGATTCCGCTCACGACCAACACGTCGGACGTCCACGCTTTTATCAGCCAGCTCCGTGCCCGCGGCGGGTGTGGCAACTTTGCCGACGTCCCTGGCGGCCTCGCCGAGGCCCTCGCGATGCGCTGGGAGGCCGACGCCAAGGTGATCATCTTGGTCGGTGACGCGCCGTGCCACGGCAAGGAGTTTCACGACCGCTACAACGGCACAATGCACCCGTCGACGCCGTGCATTCGGGAGCAGATGCGCACGATGGCGCGCACGGGCATTGATTTCCGGTTCCTCGAGATCGTGCCGGCCAACACGGCCAAAATGGTCGCGGTTCTCCAGGCCGAGTACGCGTCGACGCTCGCCGACGACGGCTTGGCGCGGTCGTTTGCATCCGTGTCGCTCTCAGCGGTCGGTGACGAGGTCAAGTTTGGTGACGTCGTGCGCCAGATCAGCAGCGATTCACTGAGAGCGAGCAAGTCGCGAAGCGTCATTGCCAGCGTCCAGGCCGTCACCACGCGCGAGAGTCTGTCGTTGTTGGACAAGGTGGGCGAGGAGGACGACGACGACGGAAACGACGACGACGACGAAAACCTTCTGGAATCGACGTCGGCGGGTAAGGACACGCCGGTGGCCGCGCAGTGGACCCCGCCAACGACGACGACGCCGCTCAACTGGAGTGACGTTAAAGCGTGTCCCGAGATCAGCGCTGTGCGTCACTGCAAGTACATCAAGCGAGAGTGCAACGACATGGCAAAGCCCCAGACGATCACGACGTCGCAGGCGACGACGATCAAGTTTATGCCGACACCGTTCGCCAAGGGCACGATGCGCACGGCGCATGGCATGATCGACTGCAAGCTCGACCTCCGGCTTGTGGCTAAGTTTTATTTTGGTACCGCTGCCGCCATCGATTACCACGTCCGGACAGACGTCGAGATGACCGCGATCGCCCGACGGCTCGCGATGGAGTTTTCCAAGTCGCCGCACGCGGGTGCTGGCGTCGATTTCATTATGACGTGCTGGTACGAAGTCAAGGGCCGGCCGTTGTTCACGGCCGAGCCCTACATTTCTGGTGAGTACCACAAGTACAATAGCAACGGCGGGTGGGTTCAAACCGCGTTGAACGATCATGTCGCGACGGCCCAAGCGTTCAGTCATTTTACATACGTCCACACACTCGGAAGGCTCATGGTCGTGGACCTGCAAGGCGTCGGCTCCATCTACACGGACCCGCAGCTCCATACACTGAATGGGAATGCATATGGCCACGGCAACTTGGGCGTAGCTGGCATGCTGCGCTTCCTCGAGACGCACCGATGCAACCACATTTGTCGTGCGCTGCAACTGCCGCTATGCAACGACAGCGACGTGTCACCGGCCACGACGGCGAGAGACGACCAGACCATGACGCGCAGCTGCTCGCTGTGCGGCACCATCTACACGATGCTGCACTCGGCCTTTGTCGCCGAGCTTGCCGCCTACGCAGAGCTTCTCTGTGCGACGTGCACACTCAAGTTTCAGTCGTCGATGGTCGCCAAGCCGTGCGTGACGTGCAAGCAACCAAAAGAGTACTCGCAGTTCTGGTACGACATGAAGGGCCTCGAGACGCCCAAGTTTTGCAAGGCGTGCAAGGGCAGCGGTCCCAAAAAACGAAAGACACCGCTGGGGCCGCACGGTATCGTCATGAAGGCGATCGCGCTGGCCGCCGACGCGGACGGCTGGGCGCCTCTGACCAAGCTTGGGACATCGCTCAAGACAGTGGACCCAACCTTTGATGCCAAGGCGCACGCGTCCGGGCTCCTCGACCTCTTACGCACCTTTCGCAACATCGAGGTGCGCGAAGAGATTGGCGTCTCTGGCTCGTACTCGGCACGTATTTTGAAGAAACGACCACTAAAGTAAACATTTACTAGTACTCGGCGGGGTAGGTTGTTGCGTAGTCTAGCTTTCCATCCGTAGGAGCTTGAACAGCGAACCGCGCCGCCAATCTCGCAACCTGCTCGATCTCGCTAGTGTTAGTCGGCACATGTTATTGCGACAAGGGTCTTCGAACAGCGCACAATTGAGAGATTTTAAGAACGCAGCGAGTATTCGACGGCTGCCATGGTGTCGTTAGTGTTGCGCGTGGAATCGCTTTGCCTTAGTCGTATTACGCCCCGTTGTCGCCGCCGTCCGCTCGTCGAGCTCTTTTGCGATGTCGTTGAGCGGTCTTTGTACCCAGACGTGCACGTCCAAGTCGACTCGATCAATGACGCCGACGCCATCCTTCCTTCTCCGCGTTGCAATGGCTTCTTTTAAGCGTCTCTGTCATGCAACTCTGGACGTCGCCATCCCCACGGAACGGAATCCAATGCGACGTACTCGACGCCCTTCGCGTTGCGCTCAACCGCATGGCTTACCGCCAGCGGTACGGTATATTAAATTTGTACTACCATCGCACACGTTTTGTACATGCGATTATAATGGCTAACATGATGTGATGGCTCTGGAGGTGGTAGAAGGACCATAGCGTTCACGTTAGGCGTCTGCACGCTGTGAGCAATTATCCATCGACGATCCCAGTGCGTGAGTCTTGTTCCGACGACGTGTCCGGATATTTCCGGATACTAACTAGTAGCAGGTGCAATTCCAAAATGGCTGCCACGAAAACGAGCCACGTCACCACCGGCGCAGGAGCAGCAGCGCCGCGTTCAGTGCGCGCGCAGCATCTTGCGACATCGAGCTCGATACCCCCGAATCGAAAATGCGATCCATCGTAACATTTATACAAACGAAGCCGTAATGGAGATGTCGCCTGCGGGCTCGTGGTTCCTGCGCCGATGGAAGGACAACGCAACGTTACGACGACGGCGGCCAAGCACATACAATAAGCAGCGACGGTTTGGATGCTCATGGCTGGCACGCGTGGCGCGGCTCTCCTGGACACCAAGGGGCAAGCCACGACTCATGGCGGCGATGCGCATAGTTTGTCTGCAGGAAGAGCGACAGGACAGGCGCGCCACCTCGAACGGATGACGAGGTCGAGTGCATCCTGCTGACGGTCGCGCGCAGCATGATGACGACCTTGATGACCGTCACGACGTGGGCGCATAGAGGACGTAGAATTTTTGCCGCTCAGATACAGTGGACGCGATGAGTTGGAAATTCTGCAGTTGTAGCCTCATGAGTTAGCCTTGTCGCTGCAACCCGCCACGCCACTCACAATGGCTAGCGGTCAATCGAGTCGTCTGCTGGCCACTCGCGCGTTGTACAAGATATCACGCGGAGAAGGACGCTGAGACGAGCGAGGAGTGGTGCTATCAGCCTCCGCACTCCAGAAATCGGCAACATCACCCAATACATCGAGATCGTACGCACGGACCACGTCGCAATGAACGAGTAGGTGATCGCCGAGCTCGGAGACGAAGCGACGCAGACCACGACGCCTCGCCTCCTGCGCTAACCTCCAAATGTCCTGCGCTAACCTCCCAATGTAGAAAAAACGAAGCAACGTGTTTCGTCGAATGCAGTTGTTTATCGTTATAAGCTTACGACCGCGTCCGGAGCCGGGCAAAATAGACGGCAGGGTTGCCGCTGTCTCGAATCTCGATCGCAGGGTGGAGGCGCATAAGCTCCTTGAGCCCGGACGCGTGATCCTTGACGGCAAACGTGGGCGCGATCCGCTTCAGGACTTGGCCGATCGTCGTTGCGGGGGCCCACCCATCGGGCTGTGAGGCTCGAACGATAGCATTTCGCACGATCTTGTGCCACGCCGGACGCTTTGGCGCGGCTGGCGCCTTGGTGCTTTTCTTGATGGCTTTGCATTGCCGGCAGAGCTTCGGCAGCTCCATGCCCTTCATCTTGTACCAAAACAACGAGTAGCTTTTGGTCGTGCCGCACACGGTGCACGCGACAGGCGTCAAGGACTTTTTGACTTCGAGCGAGCACGGGGTGCAGTTGATCTCCGAGTACTTGGCGAGCTCCGCGACAAAGCCCGAGTGGAGCAGCGTAAAGATGGACCCACAGAGCGGGCAGCTGCACGTCATGGTTTGGTCCGGGTGCGGCGTTCGCTGGGTCTCGTCGACGGGCGGCAACGTGCTCTTGTCGTATGGCGTCAGTCGAAGCGCATTGCAGATACGGTTGCACTTGTGGTTGGCGAGAAATTTTTGGATGCCGACCATCCCCAAGTTGCCTTGGCCGTACTTGGTCGTGTCAAGGGCGTGGATTTGCGGGTCTGTAAAGATCGAGCCGACGCCTTGCAGATCCACAATCAAGAGCTTCCCAAGCGTTTGCTGAAACGTAAAGTGGCTGAACGCTTGGGCCGTCAGCACTTGCGCGTTCGATTCGTCGCGGCCCATGTCTTCGGACCACCCATCGTTGTTGTTGTACTTGAGGTACTCGCCAGAAATGTAGGGCTCGGCCGTGAACAGCGGCCGGCCCTTGACTTCGTACCAGCACGTCGAGATAAAGTCGACGCCAACACCCGCGTGCGGCGACTTGGAAAACTCCATCGCGAGCCGCTTCGCGACGGCGTGCATCTCGACGTCGTTTTGAATTTTGTAGTCCATCGCGGCGGCAGTGCCAAAATATCACTTGGCGGCGAGCCGGAGGTTGTTGAACTTGCAGTCGATCATGCCATGCGCCGTGCGCATGGCACCTTTGGCGAACGGCGTCGGCATGAACTTGATCGTCGTCGCCTGCGACGTCGTTGTCGTCTGCGGCTTTGCCAAGTTGTTGCACTCGGGTCGAATGAACATGCAGTAGCGAGTCGCGCTGATCTCGGGACACGCTTCGACGTCACTCCAGTTGAGCGGCGTCGTCGTCGTTGGCGGCGTCCACTGAACAACGTCTGGCGACGCTTTGGCCGCCATCGCCTCTTTCGCGTCTGTGTCGTCGTCGTCGTCGTCGTCATCGTCGTCCTCGCCAATCTTGTTCAACGTGGACGTATGTGGCTCGCGCACAGCGACGGCCTTGACGCTGGCAATGACGCTTCGCGATTTGCTCGCCTTCAGCGAATCGCTGCTGATCTGGCGCACGACGTCGCCAAATTTGACTACATCGCCAGACTCCGAGAGCGACACGGACGCAAACGACCGCGCCAAGCCGTCGTCGGCGAGCGTCGACGCGTACTCGGCCTGGAGAACCGCGACCATTTTGGCCGTGTTGGCCGGCACGATCTCAAGAAACCGGAAATCAATGCCCGTGCGCGCCATCGTGCGCATCTGCTCCCGAATGCACGGCGTCGACGGGTGCATTGTGCCGTTGTAGCGGTCGTGAAACTCTTTGCCGTGGCACGGCGCGTCACCGACCAAGATGATCACTCTGGCGTCGGCCTCCCAGCGCATCGCGAGGGCCTCGGCGATGCCGCCAGGGACGTCGGCAAAGTTGCCACACCCGCCGCGGGCACGGAGCTGGCTGATAAAAGCGTGGACGTCCAACGTGTTGGTCGTGAGCGGAATCGACGCGATGCGGTCGTTGCCGTTGATATAGTCGCGGTACCCGACAAAGCCGACGCGGACGACAGCGTTCGGATGGTCGGTCTGGATGTTGCGAATGATGGTCGTCGATGCGTCTTTCGCAGATGCAATCCACGCCCCCATCGAGCTGGTGCAGTCCATGACGATGACCACGTCCAACCGGTTGGCTTGGTCGAACTTGGCGGCCATCTCGGCGCGTATTGTTTCGAGCGTCGAGCGCATGGTGTCTTGAAGCGATGCAAAGGCCGCGACGTCC